TTTAATTGAATTCATTCTGAATAAAGTTATTAATAAATAAAATCTTGAATTTCAAAGAATAAATATCGTAATTTAGAAATATTTGTGAATTAATTATTATAAAAAGTATTTATTTGTTTATATATATCCAATTTTATTATTAACATGTTATAACTTTTAAGAATTTTATTCTTATTGTTATAACATGTTATAACTCATAAGAATTTTATTTTATAAATTATTTTATTACTTTATTCTTATTAGGATATTTGTTTCTATATTATTCAGATTTGTTTTTATAAATAATGGATTTTAATTTAATATATTGTTATTCTGTTTTAATAAATTATAAAATGAAATTTTTAGGATCTTTAAATACATAATCGTCTCTTCTCTAATCATAATTATTGTAGACAATTTTGAAAATTAGAGGAAAAATAATTTAAAATTTTTGCGAGTGATTTTTGAAAACGTATTGATATTTTATAGAAATATATTCAGTGACTATGTTATAAATAATTTATCTACTGATAATTCATAATTATAATATATAACATTTATATTAACAGAATTTTATGTTTACCATTTAACATTTATGTAAAAACGATGTTGGAAAATAAGACGAATGTCTGAAATTTTCTGAAAACTTTCTCTAGTCCACGTTTAGTAATCTATAATATCTTTATTCTTCTATATATCTTTCACATCTGTGAAAATTGTTCGAAGAATAACATTTTCTCTCCATTTTTACAAATACTAGTTTATTTAATAAATCGACTGTCTCGCCTTCATACATTTGCATAGTACTTACATTTACATCTTGTTTGCCATTAACTTATTCATTTTGTTTTCGTGTTTTGTGTTTATATTTATATATAATACATATTTAATATTTACCTTTTACTCTGCTGTATACTTATTTTCATATCTATTTACTTACGTCTGGTGTAGGTCAGCCAGATAGGCTTTTATGTCCAGAAACAATAATTAAATAATAAATTATTATAATCAGATAATTTATATATAATAAAAGTTTTATATTATATTCTGTGCATGAATATTTGTTAAGGTGAAAACGTACAGTACGATGAACTATTATAAATAGAATATTTATTATTTTTCAGAATTTATTAGCCACATAATTAGTGAAATTTATTGCTACATATCATTCTATTGAGTAATAAATAACAACTTTGGAAATATTTTTGTATATTACCAAATTATCTGGCTATTGATACATTATACTTAATTTTTAAATATAAAACTTGTAAAATCTGCCTTCGTCACATTTTAATTATAAAAGTTTACTAAATTTTAATAATAAAAATAATTGAATCAAGTGTTTATTAAACTATTTTATCTTAAAAAGTTAGAAATTATGCCCAATTGATTTTTATAAGATTGGACAAGCAATTCACTAACGTTTCATTTTGCCGTATCAATACAATTCTCATTTACACTAGACAATTAAAACATAGTACAGTATTTAAAATTAAGCATTTCCACCAATTGTAAACATTAAATTAAATACCAAACAATATCCAAATACCAAATTCAATATCCAAACTTTGTCCTTTATTATATGTGTTAATTAAATTTCAAATATTCAAACGATCGTTTCACACGATCGAATTCATACAATAGTTATCATACTCTCTATTAGATCCATTCTTTATTTCACTAAAATAACAAAAGTATAGTTAATAGGTTCTATATATCTCGATAAAACGTAAAAAGCTATTCTGAAAGGGTAAAATTAATAAATATTAAGGCGCCTCTAGTTACCATTTCATGAAATTATCTCGGATTACATTAACAGAGTCTGTCACATATGAAAATTGAACTTCGAACGTAGAAAAACTACCAATTATGGACAATTAAGCCCGCAGCATCTGATATTTATTCATTCTATCTTCCTTCCATTTTGTTACAAATTGGACTGAGTTCAGTCGTGCATAGAATAAGTTTTCCGGGATGTAATTATCATGAATAATTAATTGATGGTTATTTAAAACTATAGAGATTATTACCGTATCATTTGTAAGCTCGGATTTCGATTGGAATAAACGATAATTAATTTTTTTTTTTGATTTTTCGTGGGACTTCTAAAAAGCTCTAATTGAAGCTTATGAGAGATAGAGAAATAATTTATTTAAATCTATAATCTAAATACAATTCAAAGTAAAATTGCATATTCTATCTTATTTTATGTATAAGAGGATTTAATATTGTATTTATAGAGGATTTAATATTATATATTGTATTGTATTGTCAAAAATATTGTATTTTATGAAACTTTTTGATGTAAGCTATGAGGTAAATTTTAATCTATAAGATAATTGAAACTTAGAGTATAACATATACTTATATTAGATTAAATTACTTTATTTGTTAGAATTTTTACGTTTTAATCGAGATTCCTTATCTTAAAATATAGTCATGTTCTCTGGAAAAAATGTGTTTATATACAAATAATGGAATAGAAGCTTAGAATATATAAATTTTTCTAGCATTGAAATAAAAAATATTAAACAAATTAATTTCTATTACGATTGATAAAGGCTTTACCTAAATATTAGAATAATTTTATAAGTTTAATTTAATGTTTCGATTTACACAGTTAATTGATATAATTTTGAATAGAAAAAAAAAGAAAAAGGAACTAGTAGTTTCAGCTTCAGAGAAAATAATCGAAGAAACTATTCGTGTAAGGTGAAACACAACTGTCAGCTAAATTCTGTAACTCATTAATTTATAAATTTCTTCACTATTGTTTTCTGTTATTATTGGAATGTCAGTAAATCGATCTTCAATTTCTATTGAATATCTTGAGGTTTTGTACTGTATTCTTTGACTTTTAATTGATAAGTTGTCTGATTTCTTAGGCAGAAATAATAATAAAATTTGCTATTGTAGGTAGGTGATCAGAGATGTCAAAACTAGTTATGGTGAAGTCCAGACAGCAATCCAATAGTAAGTCTGAGTAGATTGTATAATCGATAGTGGATTTTCTGGCATATGTTAAACAGGTGTATTCTGTAGGAATATCATGTTTGATGCGTCCATTTATTATATACATTTTAAGATCCATTATTATTTCTATTAGTTTTTTACCCAGTCTATTAAGCTGTTTGTCTTTCGACTGATGAGTATTTTGTATTAAAGAATTAAGTTCATCATATCTAGAGCCCATTGCTTCACCAATTCTTGAATTAAAATCTCCTAGTATAATAAAGTATGGAGTCATATGTTGCCAAATATCAATTAGTTTGGAGGTTTCATTTAGATTTGTTAAATCATCAGGAGGGATATAGACGACCATTAAGGTCATTAATTTATTAGTTATATTTGTAAGAATAGGTTTGTTGATTGAAATAAGAAGCAGGATGTAGTTGTCTGATTTTTTTGTTTGTATTATTTTACAAAAATCTTTTTTCATTAATATTCAGAGACCACTGCTTGGATGACCTGGGCCTATTGGTTTATGTGCCATTACTGATTCAATTATAAATTTATCAAAAAAATTTGACTTATAAGTCAGTTCAGAGGTTATCCAAGTTTCTGTTATAGCAAAGATATTGAGTTCATGCTTGGAGTAAAAAGAGTTGATTAGTGGAATTTTATTTTTAAGCCCTTGGCTATTCCAGTTAACAATAGTAAATAATTGGTTATTCAAGTAAGTTATATTGTATTGAATTTTTCTTTGCTTCTTAGTATATCAGCTTGTTGTATTTGTTAATCTAGAAGACAGAAGAAAGGTATTCACATGGACTAATTTCCCAGTATTTAGACTGTAGGTTAATTTGTCACGTTTAATTATTAATTAAAGTGTCATTATATAGTTTGACCGAGGAATTATGTTCGCAGTTTGTAGAAAATTGGGAATAAGTGTTTATGTCTAATCCTTGAATTTTTTGTTAAGTCCTTTGATATTTGCATATTTTTCCATTCTTTTAGCAAATCTGTTGTTTCTTCTGTATAAAAGTAGAAAAGATGTGATCACGAATATAATTATTGCCAAGTGTTAGTCTTATAGTTGAGTTTGGTGATTTAGTTAGTTGGACTATTTCCAGGATGTCTTCTTGAGCTACATTTTGCAAGTTTAATGTGGTAATGATGAATTTATGGTCTAGAAATAGTTTTAGAATTGGGATAATTATATTATTGCAGTGATGATCATTAATTAAAGAGTCCATACTAAATTGAATACAGTCCTTTTCTACTTGTAATTTATCTACCTGTTGTTTTAGATTATTTATTTGTTCTTCCATTCTTTTCTGCTGTTCTTTAGTTTCACAGATGTTTTCATGTATAAGGTCAAGATCTTCTTTTATAATAATCATTTGGCTAAAAAGTTTATTGTTAGAAGTCTTAATCAAGTTGGAGATTTTGTTCCATAGGACTGTTGTGGAGATATCTGGTAGATTGTCTGGTTTATTAAGTAAAGTAGGAACGAAGTTAGTTGACTCACCTGAAAGATTATGAGAGCTAAGTTGAGACAAATTCAGGTTGGGATTCACATCCTCTGTAAAGTCTTTGTGAGAGTTTTTTTTGAAGTTAAGTTAAAATTCATTATTAGCCTGGAGTTTGATGAGGTTGGTTGATTTCTTTTGACTTCCGGTTTAGGATGATTCATTGGCGTTCTTCCCCACTTTGGTGGCGAACATTGCATTTTTACTGATATTATTATTACCACTAATGATATTAGTTAAAATAAATATAAACTTTTGAACAATTTGAGTTAGAAGCAATCAACACTTAAACTTTATGCAGATAATGAGGTGCTTAGAAAAAGTCACCAGCAGCCTTGACTGTTGGAACACACCCCCTCTTTTCATTTCATATTTAAAAATAAAATATATATATATATATACACACTATATTTATTCAAAGAAACAGTATGTTGTCTATAACTTTTTACATTTTGCAACTGTGTTATGTTATATACTAAAAGTTTTTTATATACTAGTCAATAATTAATTCTAAAAAATTGATATATGAAAATAATTTTATATTAATAGATTCCACCACCAGATAACAAGCCTGATAAATTAGGTTTACATGTACTTGATGAACCATGTGCTAAACAATCAGATCCAACAGTTTTAGATTTGCAGCTTAGAGCTATTTCAAAAGAAACAACAGTTAAAACAACAGTAAGTGTTATTTTATTTACTTTTAATATAAGCTGTATAATTTAAAGAGTACAAAAAGATGTTTTACATAATGATTACTTCAAAACAAAAAGTTAAATACAGTGGACTTGCTTAATGAGCTATGTTTTGCATAACGAGTGATGAGAAGAGGGGAATTCCCAGATTATGCATATACTCCATCAGTCTGTGTTTAGCACTCATTCTGCTAGCATCTTAGTGTTGCTTGTGATCAAACATTTTTCCAAACTTGTGTTCAGACATATTACATATAAACATCAACAACCATCACCCGTTATATAATAAACATGCCAAATGATATGCCAAATTCTTGGGCTATGAAAAGGCTATAATTAAATATTATAAATTAATTAATTAATTTGACTAGTGATAAGCAGTTATGCTGTCATCTCTTATTAAATTTAATGACCAATTCCAAATTAAATTTTTAAAATGTCTAAATTAAAAATTAATTATTTATAATTATTAAATTTAATACAAGATGGCAGCATAATTGCCCACCTATAGTCAAATTAATTAATTTCTAATATTTAATTATAGCCTTTACATAGACCAAGAATTTGGCATATCATTTGGCATGTTTATCAGACATATTACCAGTGATTTTTTTTTTTTTTTTTTCTGCAAATTGAATTTGTATTCTAGATTGGTTCATTCACACTAGAAGAAAAGATGAAGATGATTCGCACTGCTTAACAATGTATACTGTATAATTTTCTTTGAAAAAACGTTACGCATAAAATATTTGTGTATTTTTTCAGCATGGAACTCATTATTGTATTTTACATTCATTTATATGGGAAAAATTGTTTTGCTTAATGAGTGTTTCACATTATGAGTAAGATTCTGGAATGAATTATGCTCGTTAAGCAAGGTTGTAAGCAATGTCTTGAACAGATAAAATATCAAACAAATGTTTTGTACATGATATAATGTGTGTTTCATATATGGTATTTAACAGAAACAAATGTTCGGTCATTAATTTATTAGTTATATTTGTAAGAATAGGTTTGTTGATTGAAATAAGAAGCAGGATGTAGTTGTCTGATTTTTTGTTTGTATTATTTTACAAAAATCTTTTTNTATTTAACAGAAACAAATGTTCTTGTTAAATACTTGTAATTAATATGATTTTTATTATAACTAATTAATTTAATACATATTGAATAGTTTTAAATTAAAATAAATATTTAAATAAAAAACATTTTAAATTCATAGCAATTATAATTTACTAAATGATTTAAAAATTTTCATTTTACTTTTCATCATATCTAATATTATTTTCATGAATAAGCATTTAATCAAAACAGCATGATTAATTTAACATATTCAAATATATGTACTAGTATTTATCATTAAAAAATGTAATAATAAGTATATTAAATATATTTAGTTAATATAATACTCAGTTAATTAAATAATATAATATTGCAATGTAATTTTCAGATTGTTAAAAGTTTACAAGATGCTGACAAACATCCTAAAGAAATAGATTCTTGGATTACAAGTATTGGTAATCTTCATCGTTCTAAGCCTCCACCTACTGTGCATTATGCACGGTAAGATAATACTGCTATTTACATTTTTTTTTTCAATACATACATATCTTAATTTTTATGGATCTGTAATGCAATCTGATTTTCTAATTATGTTGTTGGATATATCTACTACAATTGTTTAAGAAAATATAACATTTTCAATATATATCTTTCTACATTAATTTCCTACATATGACAGTAATCCCAAATTTTCATTGTAAAACTACAAGATCATTATTATTATTATAAGTGCGTACTGTATCTAGTAAAGTTGTTGGAGGCTACTTGAAGCAATTTACACTTTCAAAGGAAGCATTTCTACTACTATTGCATTGTAGTTTGTAAACATTATTTTTGTGTAAATCAAACACTCAGAAATGATGTAATAATATTGATGACATAATTATTTTTCAGTTTAAAAAATTTTACAAATATTTTGCTGTCTGTGGCAGCTATCTTGAATTTTGTGTTCAGTATTTCCAAACTTCACTGCTTTAGTGTTGCAGTGGCTAATTTAAATCAGAAAACACTAAACTGTTGTCTATCAAAGCTACTTTAAACTGCTTTATTAGACAATACATCCTATATATAATAAATTACTGTAAATTTATTCACAAATTTCAATCAGAAAATTAAAATGAAACTGATTATGATTACATAAAAATATAATAAAAATAAAGAACATCTTACTTGTATCTACCTGCAGCTTTTACATAACGATAAGTATCTTCACCTGTTGCATCCAAAGTAATATCATCTATAAAAGAAAATTGTAATTAGCAATTAAAGTGGAATAATAGAAAATTATGATAAAATAATTCTGCTTCATAACAGAAGTAAAAAGAACTTTATTACCTAATCAGTTTAACTCTTAAAACATTAGTTTTACAAAACAAAAATTAGTTATAGAAAATCAAGACTGCATTAAATGTGAATATTTGTTGTATATACACCTCACCTATCCCTCTTTTTACATGGTCTTTTCTTATGCTACTTTGAAGTAATGCATTTAAAAAAGGAAAGGAAACTAATCCTGTTTTTGTGTGATCAATATTTTTACATAGGAAAAATAGTTTATTTCAAAATTTTTTAATTTAATTTTTTGTTTAAAATGTACTCTTTGTCGAAATCAAGAGTTAATTTATCTTTTTTAAGAACAGTACAGTACTATTTTTACATTAGAGAATACTGTACATTGATTTTGTTTTCTATTCTACTTTGTGTTTACTATATTTATGTGCAAATAATGTTAATGATAAATGATGTTAGAATAAAAAAAGCCTGTGTTGCTTTTTGTAAATTGTTTATTTTTTCATTCCATTAAAATTCTGAATCCTATCAAGCATTTTTCTACAGGATGCTGGTACTGTACTTTTTATGTAATTTTTGTTATTCAGCATTCTTTGAAATGAAAAAAAAGGGATAGGCATNTAGATTTAGTCCTGTAGATTTAATTGAATCAATAACAAAACTGTTTAACCTAACACTTATTAACATTCTTCTAACCTAACATTAATAAAAATTATAACTTAGAAAAATTTTCATACTTTTGTAACTTACAACAATAACATATAAAACATATCAAAAATTTCCCCTGAGTTTTTTGTAAATATTTATAAACAATTCTTATTAAATCATTATTTATTCACAAAAATTAGACTTTTATTTTTCCTTTTATAGTAATACCTGGCAAAGAATAAAAAAATAGCTTCCTTCACACCTGTTATTTATGTTCCAAAAGGATTTTTCCTTCTGTCCAGGATGCCTAGTATTGAATTATACAAATAGGAACATGAATGTGTTGATAGTGTCAAGTCATGAACTCATTCGGTGAGACATGATGTTTCAATATATTCATGTTGATACTCACATAACTTGAGTCTAGGAACCTAGAAAGATATCACAAATATATCACTTATTCTGTATAATTTTTATTATAATTTTATTTGTTATTGTATACTAGAAAAATTGATTAAAATAATTAAAATATAATTTACAAAAAATAAAGTAATAGTAACATTTTAGAAAGTTCTAACACTTCTTGCCAAAAACTTAGAATATTCCATTCAAGTATGTGTTGCACTATAAAGTGGATGTAATTTAAATCTTTTCACACATATTAGAACATATTTTAATGAAAAGTATTAATTAAGTGTACAATAAGGAGGCTTACAGAAAATATTAATCGTTATTTATCATACATAACACAATTTGTGTGTGACAAAAAATAAGAACTCCTCTCTCTCTCTCTCTCTCTCTCTCTCTCTCTCTCTCTCTCTCTCTCGTGCCTCATTTCCTGGCACTGTTTCCTCTTTTACAGTTGGCTATGCTGTGCTGCAGTTGATTCTTCAATATTTTGGATATGATTGGTTTTCTACAACCAACCATAGAGAAATCAACTTTTTTATCTGTTTTGAAAATAGATGGAAATAACAAGCAATAAGTAATTGTTCCCTTTCTTTTATTGTTGTATTTGCTAAATTTATAATATATTTTACATGATGTGGAATAATTCATTTTCTAAAAAGGATAATGAGTTTCTGTCTCTTCTTTATGACAATTCACATTACATTTTAATATTCTAATTTTTTTTGTCACAGTTGACAATATTATTGTTTTTCTTGTAACTTTATTCTAGAATTAATATTTTTCTTTACCTAAGTCATAATATAAACACAAAACTTACAATCCATTTCATTGCTTAATACATACTTGGATGGAATATTCTAATTTTTTGGCAAGGAGTTGTAGGTATCTAATGCTTCTTTATCAACTAGTCTACATATAAAATATATTTCATATGACATTATTCTTACATAACTCAATTTTAAACCAATTAATAACATTACACAGAGAGCCACCGTAAACTAAATATTTTTAGAAAATTATAATTATTTTTTAGAAATGTTAAAAAATTTATTTTTAAAACTTATTTAGAAATATGCCAGATATTGATACCTTAATGCAAGAGTGGCCACCTGAATTTGAAGAGTTGTTAAAGGAGGTAAAGTTTTTGCATATTTTATTAAAATTTTTATTATTTATTTAATTAATTGAAATTATTTTTCATAAACTAATATAATTAACATTAATTTTATTGCATTAGTAGTATCACATGACTATTATCAGTTACTATAAGGTAAAAAATTGATGTCTATGTACAAATTGAATTAGCAATTAACATTGTTTGTATGTAGAAACATGTATATAGAATAAATAATTATGAAAGTTTTGGTGATGGAAAGTACAAACATCCAAAATCCATTAAAAATAGTCACATACAAACTAAAAGAAAATAATCAAGTCATTTTAATAACAACAAATTCATTATTATGCAGAACTTGTTTGGTCTTGCATTGATTAGATTTAAATAGTAATTATACTTATTCTAAGTTATTTATACCTGTTGATTTTTTTAAGTTTTAAATAATTTATTTAATTTAGGTAGGACTTCCATCTGCAGATCTTGATTGTACTTTAGAAGAATATGTTCAAATTATCACAGGTACATAAATTTCTTACTATAAAATTATATATAAGAAATTGTGAATTTTTGTTTTAATTTATTAGGGATAACAAATAGGATCTTATATTTATCTAGTAGGTGTTGCAGGAAATTTTCTTTGATTGGAATTGTTGGTCATTTGTTTTTTTTTTTTTAAACTAGTAAAGAATTTTTTCCTTGATTAAAAATACCATTCTTTATATTTAAAATTTGAAAACTACATCTGTATTATTGTAATCATTACTTGTTTTTGTTGTAAAAGGTAATAGAAAATAATTTTCCAGCTAGAACAAAAACAGAGTACTCAATATTTTTGAATTTTTACTAGATGGATGAATAGTTTTAAATAAAAGTGGTAGAACACTTTGAAAATAAAAGCAGATTTCTTTTGTATGGTTTTATCCATTTCAATCACATTGTTACAGGACAACAAAAGAAAGATTTTCTTGTTCTAGCTCATTTTCCATCATAAACATTCTTGCCAATAGCAAACAAGATTAGAAGAATTCTAATAAAATATATTTTTCTATCATGGCATCTTATTTTAAAATATGGCAGACAGTTTTTAATATTTATCCACGAATTAATATTTATTGTTTTTAAACGTAATAAACTTTAACTATTTAATTGTAATAATAATAATTATAATATAAAATATTCATAAACAATTCACTGATATAATAAATGAGAGAAAAATAAAAAAATATAGACTAAATTATAGTAGATTTGTTCCAAAAATTATTACCATCACTTGAATATACTAATATTTGACTTTTAAGTTATCTAGGGAAAAGCTGTCATGAGTAACAATTTTGATTGAATTTAATTTTATGCCAATCTGCATGGTATCGTGTAAATTGGTAAGATAAAATTCTTAAAGATCAGTCATATCATATATATAAACATTGATTTTTGCATATGATAGCTTGTAACAAGGTAATTGTTACAAACTATCATAGCAGAGAACATTTTCTATTGGTTGTTAATTTCATAATGCTTGTTGGGGCAGTTTTGACAGTGCTGGCTGTTGATGTGTTTTTTTTACAACTTACTGTTATGATCTACAATTCAACTATTTGCCATTAATTGACTTTATTGAGGATGTCTTTTTCTACCATAATGCTTTCTTTTTTAATTTTGTTCTTTTTTACTTATTATTGGAGGAGTCAAACTTAATCCAGATCCAATGTCTCATACACCACCTTCTTCGCCTCACAATAAAGCTTCGACTTCTGCTGGTAAACGTCGTCGATCTCCAAGTGAACCAACATTGAAATCATCTCGACTGGATGATTATTTTGCATCACAGGATATTTCTTCTCGAATATCCCAAAAGATTCTGTGTTTTCTTGAGGAACGTTTTGATACTATTCTATCGAAACTCGAAGAATTGTCATCGAAATTTGACTGCTTGTCTAATTTACATAAAGAGTATGATGAACGTCTAACCCACCTGGAAGGAGAAATTACTGAACTTTCAACTTTTAGAACTATATGTATGGATAATTTTTCTCTTCAGAATTATTATATAGACTCTGTATACAACAATTCAAAGAAAAATAACATTATCATTTCTGGTTTGAGTGGTAAAAACAAAGAATTAGTTAATAATGCTAATGGCTTTATTGAGTTGTTTAAAAGACAGAACGGGGAATCTGTTCCTTTTATTAACAGTTATCGAATATCGGGAACTCGGCTTGTATTGTTTGAGCTCTATACTCAAACTGACAAAAGACTTATTTTTAAAAATTTAAAGAAAATTCAGAAGTTGCCGTCCTACTCACGCATTAGAGTCTTTGATGATTTGTCTTATAGATCGAGACTTAGGCATAGAAAATTGTTGCCTTATTTTGTGGAAGCTAAATCTTTGAATAAAAAAGCATTTCTGAAAGCTGATTGCTTGATGGTCGATGGTGACAAATTCACTTTCAATTTAGAAATGAATGAACTACAAAAGATTAATAGTTTTTTAGACAAATCTAGTCAAAAGGATTAATTGGAACAATTGCTAAAAAGAGGGATAAAACTTTAGTAATGAGAATATTGTCTTGGAATTGTCAAGGAATGTTGGACTTGACAGTGAATGTCAAAGAGTTTATATATTTATTGCAAAATTATGATTTAGTTGCTTTCACTGAAACTTGGTTAACCAACTCTTATAAACGGGTCCTCTTGTTGTTGAACCAAGATTTATTTTTATACAATTTGCTAAAAAGCCAGCTTGTCCCAGTCGTCCTTATGGCGGTCTCATTCTTGCAGTTTCCCATAAACTAGGTTCTTTGGAATTGTTTAGCTTGGGTGAGCTGATAGTAATTAGATTTAATTGTAGGAAAAATTTTTGTTCATTTAGTTATAGTTTGATAATTCTTGTTTATTTGAGAATGGGTCTTTATGATGTACTATTAGCTAAAATGAAAAATTTGCTGAGGAATTTTTCTCAGGATGATATAGTTATTTTAGGAGACATGAATGCTAGAATAGGCGAGGATTGGATAATTTTTATTGGATAAAATTTTATGCAATTTATTGGTTTATACAAATGTTTTAAATTCCCGAAGATCTAATGATTTAATATTAAACTAAAGAGGAAAAGGATTTTTACAATTAATTAATTCATATGGATTATTTATTTTAAATGGCCAATGTGTCAAATTAGCCAGCTAAAGTTACTTTTCTCTCTACAGTTGGTCTATCTGTTATAGATTTAATAATAGTAAATGTGAATTTACTAGATAGATTATTAGATTTTAGAGTTCCTGATATTCTTAAATCTGATCATTTTCTGATTTCAATATCATTTGGATTTACGACAGCTAGTGTATTGACTTGGAAACTTCCAAAATTTTGTTATATATGGAACAAGAAAGAATGAATAATTATTTATCTCTGATCAGTTCGCTATATATTTCAGTTAAAAGGACCTTTCTGTTGGATGCGCAGAGTTACTATCATAAACTATTGATGACTTTGTTAACTTCAGCTTTACGATGTGGAATGGTTAAGAAAAATATTTCTTTATCATCATTTGAAAAACAATGGTTTGATTCTCAGTGTCTACATTCAAAGAAAACAAAGAACCAAGTATTATGAATTTTTTTTTAGAAATAAAACTAGAAGTCTATTGGATACATACTGCAAATTAAATAAAAGTTATAAGTCTCTATGTAAAGTGAAGAAAAAGTTATTTTTGGCTAAAATAAACTCACTACTGTTGAAGACTAAAAATACTAGAGATTTTTGGTCATTAGTTAATAAATTTCGAATTAAGAAACTGTGTGAAAATGTTATATCACCCTCGGATTGGTTGAATTATTTGCAAGAGTATTTCACTGGACAAAATACAGTAATTTATATTGATTTTAAGTTTTAGTAATAATGTTCCTCTTTTGATCTTATCACTTTGAATGAATTGGAAACTTTAATCAGAAAATTAAAATCATCTAAGGCCCCAGATCTTGATAATATAAGAAACGAAATGATAAAATACCTTTCTACAGAAATATTACTAGATATATTGAATATGTTTAACTCCTTTTGGTCTAGTAGCTCTTTTCCTTTAACTTGGAAACAAATTGCTTTAAAAATGATTTATAAGAGGGGAAGTAGGCAGACGTCAACTAATTATAGACCAATTGCTTTAATTAGTGTATTTGGAAAGGTTTTTTCAACTATTATGGCAAATTGTCTCCTAAATTGGATGAATGAGTTTAATATTGTTACACCTCTTCAAGGAGCATTTGTCTATACTAATATAATAAAGAGGTAATGTTTGTATGTTTGTATGTATGTAAGTTTGGATGCAGCAGGTAATCTCCAAAACTACTCATCCGATTTAAAAAATTTTTTCACCAATATTTAGAATGGAACTTCAGGATGGACATAGGCTGTATATTATTCCGTTAAACATGGGGGATGGACAGTTCTTTACGGTTACCGTAAAGAACTCTGCTTCTATTTATACTATTTTAAATGCGGTTTTTTGCATTTTTGATTGCGTTTTAATAGAGTATGTCAACAGAATGTACACAAAGAAGGGATTTTTCGATATTCCCGCCAGGGGGAGAGGGACAGGGTTAAGGCTTACTGTGAAGAACTTCACTTCTATTATACTATTTTAGATGCGGTTTTTTGCGTTTTTGATTGCGTTTTAATAGGGTACGTCAAGAGAATGTACACTAAGAAAAAATTTTTCGAAAAATTTTCCCCCACGGGAGAAGTGCTATACATTTATAATAGATACATTTTGAGCCACAACAAGGCGTGGCGGGGTCTGCTAGTTAAAAATAAAGGCATTGAATACAATTTGTTTATTTTGACTGGTCTTATTCAAATATCACTTTCGAGAAAACGAGGGAAACTATATATTGCTTTTATCGATCTCAAGAAAGCTTTCAATCATGATTTGTTATGGTATAAGTTTAGGAGCATTGGTCTTTCTGCATTGTTTATCAACTTACTTAAGAGTCCGTTTTCTAATACTAGATATCTTATATAGAAAGTTTTTCATTTTGTACTGATTATGTTGAGTCCAATAGAGGGTTACCTCAAGAACCATTGAGTCCTATCCTTTTTATTTTGTTTTTGAATGATCTTCCTGACCTTTTGAGAGGTCAAAGCTCATATGATAGTATTATCTTCTCATGTTGAAATTAACTATCTTCTTTATGCTGATGATGTCCTTCTTTTGGCTAATTCAGCTTCTGTGCTTAGGGAAAGACAATCTTACTTGGAGATATTGTGAAGATAATCAATTGGCAATTAATTTGGAAAAGAGACAAGGTTTATGATTTTTTGTAGAGGTTGTAAACTTAAAAAAAATTGACAATTTCAGTTCAGTAAACTGGAAATTGTGCCAAATTTTAAATATCTGGGTATTTATTTTTCTTCACAGGGCACATTTTCATATATCATTTAAATAAAGGTTTACTTGATGCAAGAGCTAAAATCTCCAATCTCATCAAGTTATTTATTAAAATTAAAGCATCTTCATTAAATAATTA